CGAAGTGGTCTATCGAACTGAGTGAGTACGATATCCGGTATGAGCCTCGGACGGCAATCAAAGCCCAAGCCTTGGCCGATTTTGTAGCAGAATGCACGTTTAGTACCGCAACCCCCGAGCCGACCGAGCTCAAACACACGACGGGAGCTTCAACTAGTGCGGTGCCAGTCCCGGTCAGAGCAAGACCAACCTGGGACGAGGAGCCCTGAATCCTCCACGTCGATGGCTTGTCCAGCCAGCAGGGAAGTAGTGCAGGATTGATTCTATACGACCCAAGCAAGGTGAAGCTGGAGTACGCACTCCAGTTTAGATTTGCGACATCAAACAACGAGGCAGAATATGAAGCATTGGTCGCCGGGTTAATCCTAGAAAGGGAAATGAAGGCAAAACACCTCGTCATATGCAGCGACTTGCAACTAGTGGTCAACCAAGTTACTGGTGAGTACGAAGCCCGTGACTCCACTATGACAGCTTATTTGGCCAAAGTTAAAGAGATCCTACGTGGCTTCATCTCCTATTTCATCAGACAAATCCCGAGGTCTGAGAACGCTGAGGCCGACGCCTTGTCTCGACTAGCCAATACGAGCAGTAACACCATGTGGACCATGTACATAGAGGATTTACCTTGGCCTAGCATTCTCGGGGGGGCAAAAGAGGTCACTCTCGTATCGTAAGCGGAACCGAGCTAGATCGATCCACTCGTAAGTTATCTTCTTCACGGGACCCTACCTTCAGAACGCAATGCAGCCCGAAGGGTAGAGCGCCAATCAGCTAAGTACGTCCTTATAGATAGACAGTTGTACAAAAAATCTTTCACGCTCCCCTACATGCGCTGCTTGCAACCCTCAGAAGCCGAGCATGTACTCCACGACACCCATGAATGCTTGTGCGGCGCACACTTGGGGGGTAGAGCTCTCACACAAAAAGCATTACAGCAAGGCTATTACTGGCCCATGATGAAGGCAGATGCACTCGAGCTCGTCAAGAAGTGTGACAGGTGTTAGAGGCACGCCAACATTCACCATTGACCTACTGCTGATCTGAAATACCTCACTAACCCATGGCCCTTTGCGCAGTGGGGAATCGGCATCCTTGGCCCTTTCTCGCTAGCAACAGGACAAAGGAGGTTCTTGGTCGTAGCAGTAGACTACTTTATGATGTGGGTGAGCTGAACTTTTGGTAACGATCATAGTCCGTAACATACATAATTTCTTCTGAAAAAACATAGTATGTCATTTCAGGCTGCCTCGGGTGCTGATATCCGACAATGGGAAGCAGTTTGAGGATATCAAATTTCAAAACTGGTGTGACGAAATGGGAATTCAAAAAAATTTCACCTCGGTGGCACACCCCAAGGCGAACGGGCAAGCAGAAGTGACTAATAGGGCGATACTTCGCAGATTAAAGGCTCACTTAGCCCGAGCCAAGGTATTGTGGGTGGACGAACTGCCCAGTGTCCTTTGGGCCTACTAAACCACTATCAAAACTGCTACAGGTGAAAGCCCTTTCAACCTTACGTATGGCACAGAGGCGGTGATCCTGGCAGAAATTGAGGTACCCACATTACGATTGGCGGCCTATGATGTGGAGGTGAATGATGACGAGCTTCGTACCAACCTAGACCTGGTAGAAGAGGTACGAGACCTGGCTTACATCCGAACCATGGCTTACATCAGAAAATGACACTTCCGCGTCGGCGACCTAGTTCTTCGAAAGGTTATGGTACCTGAGCCCGGCGTTGGTAAGCTCGGACCGAATTGGGAAGGTCCGTACCAAGTAAGACGGGTGTTCGGGGAAGGCACGTATGAGCTCGAGACTTTAGAAGGGAAGCAGGTACCTCGAGCATGGAATATTGACAACCTGAGAACGTACTACTTGTGACCACCGAACTGGTCAAAAAGGACGACTGAACTGGGGAGTGGACAATGAGTCATTCCCAGAGCCCAAGGGCCATGACGCTGAACAAATAGTGAACTCGGAGCTAAACACGAATAAGACCCAGTCGCCTCTTTGGCATGGGCAACTTAAGACCCAATCGCTTCTTCGACATGGGCAACATAAGACCCAGTCGCCTCTTCAGCACGGGCGGAATAAAAAAGCAGTTCGCATTCAGCCCCATCGGTGTGCAAACAGGTCGGGTACATACCGTTCTGCCTCAGCCTCATCGGTGTGTAGAAGAAAAAAGACAAAAAAAGTGAAAGAAGGAAGACTAATTCAGCACAAGAAAGAGAAACAAAGGAAAGACTAGACCATGACAGACACAAACTTGGCCGATCTCTTCACAGTAGACCTCCACCTCAGTTTCAGGCTCCGCATCGAATTCATTAGCTTGAGGGACACTGCGTCGAAGTCTACCTAGGTGGAGCAACCTGATAAAGCAATCACACAGAACCCCTTCTTGAGGAAGACATGAGGAGCTTTGCTCTTGAGGTACTTAGTCGGATTGCAGAACCCCTTGATGGTCGCATCCCTAATAAGGTAGATGTCCTCGGGGTACCTGTTCCATCTCTCCTCGAGCGGATGAATTTGCTCTTGTGCCCCGATAATCAAGACTGCGAGGTCCTGCATAAAGCTGCAAACACTTGGACTCTTCCGATCTGAGGAGCAAATTGGATTGAAGCCAACGGCTATGAGCTCATCAAACAGTCATTCCAGCCCAAAGGAACAATCTACTCCCTTTGCCGAGTTACCCTTAGCTCGGGAGTGGGGGGCAATTGATGAGGGTGGATTTGGCCCTCCAATAACCTCATGACACATGGCATCCCGAAACAGTTGGACGACAGCCAAATGCCACCTAAGTGATGATTTGGAGTCGCAGATCGTAGTTCGTCTTTGCCCCGACATGGCGACCTCGACCACAACTTAGGTCGGATTGCAGCACCTTGTCCAGGGCCGACCTGTAGCACATCGTCACCGGCCGAAGTGACCTCGACGTGAGATGTGCTCGCCGACAAATTCGGCATGCATACTCCTACACTCCCAGGTTTCTTTGAAGTTGGCCCGTGTACCGAATTTTCCGGAGGATGGTCAACATGCATAGCGGTTACCTCCGAGGATTTCGGACTGGTAAGGCACGACCTCTCGGAAATCTCAAATGTGGTGCGTGAAGCCTACGCCAAACAATGCCTATATAAAGGCACCAACCCCCATGACACAGGGTACGCATGATTACTGTACTCTCTAGCACTCAAGCTCTCAAGCATTCAACTTGCATTTACAACATACTTATTGACTTAAGCATCGGAACGACCTTGCCGAGTTAGCTACTCCAGGTTCTCTAATAAATTATTTTACAGATCAATCTAGCTCGCCATCTACCTGGAGTCCGGATGGCCCTCCAGCTTTCCAAAATCCAGCTTTGCAACCAAAATGAAATGATATTGGGATCCACGTTAGAGATCTATGGGTCATTTAAAGAAGATCATTAAAACGACCCGACAAACCTGCTCCATTTGGCGTGTCTTTTTGTACAGTTTTCTTGCTGTTTATAAGTTGGGCAGATTAATTATGTTAATTATGCTGAGGTTTTTATTTTTGGTTTGTTATAGATTTAATCGCAAAGATGATGCGTGAAAAGATGCGAAAATTTCATTTTAGACTAATTTCGAAAAACTCTAAATGATTTTTTTTTCATTTTTCTCGCTTTACTCTAGCACAAAAAGATATAGAAAAATGCACAATAATCAAACTACCTTCAGACTCCTCGGATCTTCATGCTCAATCCATCTAAAAACTATCAGAAGATATTCGCAAAAGACTTACAAACGGCCCTTTAGCGTTATTATTATAAATACCATTAGTGTCTTATTAATCCAGCTTCCCGACAAATACACACGTTGACTCACTCACTAAAAGCATGAGAAGAGAAGACAATATGTAGACTCCACTCCAGAGAGCACTTCCTGCTTTGTTTTTGTGCTTCCTTCGGCACTTTGTTTATTAATTACTTTAATAAAACTAAGCTTATTTATAGTTCTAAACATGGTTAATTAATTCATACATGCATCATCCATTCAAATGACTAAAATACCCTAAAAGACAAAATTAGTTTGCTTTGGCGGCAGAGCAGGCACAGTGCACACTGCACAGCACAACAAAATGGGACGAGACCCACGCTTAAGGCGTTGTATATTCATATTGAATACTGATGTGATGACGTCGCAGGGGAGGGGGATTCGTTGCTTTCATTGGACTTTGAATGCAGGGTTCAGATTGTCTGATCGAAAGGCTTGCGCCTTCTGGTAGACTGGCAATCGTATATACGGGAATGACAAAACGATGTCGCCTCACACCACAACTCACAGAAAGGAAAATGACACAACGATGCCTGAGGCTGATTGCACGCTGCACGGCTGCAGCCGGCCAGGCAGCAGATATGCAGAATGCCTTCAGTTCACGAGGTGTGTTTGGGTATTATGATTATGAGGGAGGGAAATTTTCGTCATCATGGAGATGAAATCTAAGAGGACCAAACAGAAATCTCGTGAGTCGTGATCAATCGAGGCTGTGTGGGGTCCATTTGTTTTTCTACGGTCGGTCTACTCCAGGCCCAATCACGAAAACTGCCAATTTACTCACTGGCTCTGGCTCTGTGGCTCCAACTCAGTCGCTCTATCTCTGGGCTGAAGTATCAACTCTCTTGTCACTGTTTCCCAAGCCTAACTCTTCTTTTTACAGAAGAGTCTACTCAAATTGTTGACCTATTTGTGAAGCTCTTTCTCCTTTACGGTTTGAGTTTCAACTCTCCAATTTCACACTTCTTTAATATTTTTCTTCTCTCTCTCTCTCTCTCTCTCAAATCTAGCATTTGCATCATATCTGGTATCTGACATGGTGGTTGAGCTTCTTGGGCGGTTCCAATTCGTCTTATCTCTACATATGCATATGTCCAGATTCTTAATAGTTCTTCACAGTGTTAGAGATCTCGTTGATCGAAACATGTCTGGTTCCCAGGTCCAGGTGTGCGTTTATTTTCTTTTATTTATTTTTTTGTTCTTCTTTTGCTCTAAATCCACGGCTGAGATTTTCTTTTTCCTTTTTTTACTTCGGTTCTCTTCTTGCTGTAATTTTGAAATGCTTTCGTTTTTCTTGAGTGTCCTTTTTGATTTCTTCTTGACCTTTGGATGTGCATTTACTCTACGAAGGTTTCTTTGCAGTACGTTTGCAGAAGCAAAGAGATGTAACTCTGATAGGTTTTATGTGCTTCTCGCTTTTGGCTTTGATTTTCGGTCCTCGACAGAAATGTCTTGCTTTTAATCTATGTAATTTTAGATTTTCTATTTTTTTTTTTACATTTTGTTCCTTTCTCTTTGAATGCTATTTAACTGTTTTCTAGGTTGACCGCATTTAGCCGCTCTGTTATTTCTTTTGACTTTTCTTATTTCTTAGAGAAGCTTGTTTTGAATTTTTTGATCTCTTGAAAGGAAATTCTAGGGAGAAATTTCTATCTTCTGTTTTAGAAATTCTGCATTTTATTCTTCCTTTTCTTATTCTGGTCTTATGAGGTTCATGTACTCTGGCAAGAAGCTTCTGCACTTTTAGGGTTTCCTTGTCTCTTGGACGAGTCGCGATTTGTAACAGAATGCTACTTAGGTTTCTACTATTGTCCCCTTTTTTGTTTTTTATTTTTTGGTGGCCTAGTGAGTGGAAAATGAATGTACCATGTAGCAGATTAGCATGTCCATTCAGTTTTGGGCTTCAGAGAAGATCTATTTTCTTGGGTTATCTGATAGATTCTCTGATTTCCATCTCATGAATGGGCAAAACTCTACCCAGTAAGGTTTGTATGAAATTACATTTATGGGTTTTAGACATATTCACACGATATAGGACTCATCTTATTCGCATGATACAAGGTGAAGTCTGTGCAATATTTTGGTTGTGCTTTTGCATTTATTTTCATTTTATGATGTCTTTGAGTTTAATTAGTGTTATTTTTCCTGAACGTATTTGGCCAGGACTGAAATCTTTTGTAAGAAATAGGTTCATCAAACTATTTATCAAAAAAAAAAAAGGTTCATCAAACTTAAAATGGATCAGTACGAAATACTAGAACAGATTGGAAAGGGAGCTTTTGGTTCGGCACTCCTCGTGAGGCATAAGCATGAAAAGAAAAAGTAAGGATTCTGTCCACCTTATTACCCTTTTCTCTTTCTCATGCATTTCATTTGTAGCACTAAATGATCTTGAAATGGTAATAAGTGTTTGATAGCATTTTGTTACCTTGTGACTTAATACTTTGTTAAAATTTTCTCTTGCTTTTCAAGATATGTCCTAAAGAAGATTCGTCTTGCCCGCCAGACAGATAGATGCCGGAGATCAGCACACCAGGAGGTTGGTTTTCTTTAATTGTGGTTTGTTATTCATTTTTCTTTTCCTTTTGTTGCAGTCATATCTGATTTAATCATTCTCATTATTGAAGAACTCATTTTAATTGTAGAACTCATTTAAAAAGGGTAAGTGATATTATAGGATTGAAAATTTTGAAATGGAAGGATTGGATGTTATCTGTTACAGTAGAGTTGTTTGAAACTGAGTGTCACAATAGGAACATCTCCGACAAATTATAAAAGGATAACCACCACTTTCAATTCCACATTTTAGGTCATAAGATGTTGCCTTTGTTTACCAAAAAGGAAACTAACTTATTTTCAACCTTTGAAATGAATAAAAGAGTAAAATGCTGATTTATTTTTTTTTTCTTGTGTAGATGGAGCTTATTTCCAAAGTACGAAACCCATTTATTGTGGAGTACAAAGATTCTTGGGTAGAAAAGGTCAGTAAGTGATCTTCTTTGAGAATTGAGGCCACCTAGGGTTATTGATTTTATTTGATCATGATATCTTGTATCTGTTTCTATCTTCAACATTGTGTTAAAGATTAAGTATCTCTTCATGCTTCTCAGATGAAGATGTTTGTGCTTGTGCAACTTTGATGTTTCCTGCAACTTTATGTTATGTAACCATGTATTGTTTCTCTCTCTCTCTCTCTCCATTTTTCCTTAGAGCTCAAATGGATTTCAATGTTACAAAATTTTATGTTTTCTTACTTGGTGCAAGTTTCTATGTGGAATGAAGTATGTGTGACGTATCCATGTGAAAAGATTGTAATGATGTTGTTCCCTTGTATCCTGAAAATGAAATGTTTTATCTGATCATCTTCAGTTGGAAATAAAACTTATTTGATGCCTTTTACATGGTGTAAAACTTCTAAAGGGATCTTTCCATAATCCTTATCCAATATTTGCATTGTTGATGTCTTTGGTACAGGGTTGCTATGTGTGCATTGTGATAGGTTATTGTGAGGGAGGAGACATGTAAGTTGATCTTTCTTGCAGAAACCATTTATTTGTGAAGTGATGGACATCTGGATCATGAAGCCTTTTGTGCATTTTGTACAACTCTTATCTTTTTTGCCTTCTCATTTGGTTGTATAGGGCAGAAGCCATTAAAAAAGCAAATGGTGTTCATTTCCCTGAAGAGGTTGTTCACTTTGGAGTAACAAAGCTTCTATAATTTTATGTACTTTCATTTTATGTGTTAAAATAACTTTCGACTTTAGGTCCTTCTCTTTGGCACTTAACATTCAAAATGTGTACAGAAACTCTGCAAGTGGCTTGTTCAGCTCTTAATGGCTCTTGATTACTTGCACATGAACCATATTCTTCACCGTGATGTAAAGGTCAGTAGCATCTCTTTGTGCTTTTGTTGTAGTTAGCTAGCAGTTGCTTGTGTCTGTTATTTCTGAAGTATTGAAGCTGGTTTATACTGATTATTCCACATTCTGTTCAGTGTTCAAATATATTCTTGACCAAAGATCAGGACATACGTTTAGGTAGGTGAATGACATTATTTACATGCAGATTCATGAATTGCATCATATATATACTAAATCAACAGTTTGTGTTGATCTACAGGTGACTTTGGCCTTGCTAAAATGTTGACATCAGATGACCTTGCCTCCTCGGTAAGTAAGAAGGTTGATAAAGTGGCTCTACTTCCAGGTTCAGACTGCTGTGTCTAAGTAGGGATTTTCACCCATAATGCAGGTTGTGGGAACCCCTAGCTATATGTGCCCTGAGCTTCTTGCTGATATACCTTACGGTTCTAAATCAGATATTTGGTCTTTGGGTAACCTTCTATTTTAAAATGTTATGTAGTTTTGTTTGAATATCCCTTAGGTGGATATGTGATATATATTTCATTCTGTACGTTTTCCAGGGTGCTGTATGTATGAGATGACTGCTCACAAGCCTGCTTTTAAAGCCTTTGTAAGTGGAAGCCCTCTTTTTGCAATCCTATCTACCCAAAATATGTATATTGTTTGTTTGAGTTCTGTAATGTTGCTACACTAAAAAGAATGTTTCTTGTGTTTAGATATTAATTGCCAGATTGGCTGAAACCTTATGGCATTATATCACTCCTTATCTTTGTTTGGAAAATATATATGAAATCCAGTGCTTGTTTTTGAACTTTTGGCACCTGAATTTATCCATAGATACAGACAGATCACTAAATGAGGACTTTTACTGGCTGCTTGAAAAGAATGAATTTGTTCTGATTATCCCAACATTATTGAAGTCCAAGAGAACATGAGGTCACTTGAAAATGCCCATTTTATTCTCAGCTATTTTTTATGGTAGTTACTTGGATTCTCTGCCAACTTACATTTATACAGAATAAGTTTGTCACGTGTTGAAGGCTTCTTAATGTGCAATGAAAGAAATTAATGAAGTAGTTCATGTTGTCTTTCTACATCAAGGTTTAATGTGCTAAAGTACAGAGTTTCAAAGTAATAACTTATAAATGGTGCTTGAAAGTTAATTTTACTGTTATGTCATTCTTTGAGACCCTCTGTGTTGTGGATATGAATTTTACCTTACCTTATTTGTGGAGCTAGCTCCTTAATTGTTTCAGCATGTCTGTTTAGTTTTTAACTGCACCAAAAAGATATAAACCAGGTTGTGTTAAAAGCAACTTATATGGAATTTTGCCTTTTGTTTTCTGAGCAGGATATGCAAGCACTGATCAATAAAATAAACAAGTCCATAGTGGCACCACTTCCTACCATGTATTCTGGGGCATTGTGAGTATTCATCTTATGGCATGTTATAGCATCCAGTCCTCATAATAACTTTTGTGAGTTTTACATGAAAAGTCTGTTAAATGAACCAATTTCTGGTCATTTCTAATTTTTTGTAAACAAGTCGAAAGAGGACCAGTAGCCATAATCTTAATAATTTGTTCCGCCCCCAAGAATGTTCCTCATGAAATGCTAGTGGGTGGTAAGAACCTGACCATATAGCTAGTATTCCTCTTCTTGAACACACGTTTCATAAACATTTAATGAGATCAAAGCATGGCAACAGCATATGGTTTAAGATCTGGGAAAAACCTAATTTATCCTGTCCTTGGTATTTTAGTTGGTTATTTGTTATTGTTCATGTCTTATCATATATGTTCTGACTTTGATTGCTTTTATGGTTCTCTGGTTTTTCTTGTTTGCATATACAGTCGGGGGCTCATCAAAAGCATGCTGCGGAAGAATCCAGAGCTGAGGCCAAGTGTATGTACTACTACTATTACACATGTCAACATGCACATTTATGTGTTTACCTAAAAAACATGCACATTTATGCATGTGAAACCTCTAGATGGCCAAGTTGTTCTGCAGATGTCACTGTATAGTAGCAGTTATTTGTTCTGGCCGTGGAATCCATCATTTGGTGGGTCCATCTGGAGATCCTCAAGGAAAGATAATGACATAATTAGGTTGTTTTAGCCAAGCTACAATTATGAATCCTTTGGACTGTGTTTGGATCAAGATGGACGTTGAATTGAATTCTGCTCCATCATCCGTTCCAAGGGGATTTATGTCTTTAATAAACAAAAGGAGAATTGTTGAAAAATCCAAGTAATATTGGATCTTCTTTCTTCTACGAACTGACCTAACAGAATGCGAAGGGAATGGTTATGAATGTCTAGTTACATCACTTTTTGGTAAACTCAATTTAGCTAGCATTAATCCCAACTATCTGGGGTTGGCTACTTTGCTTCAATTTTTTGCTATATCTCCTAATTGGGGCCCAAAAATGTGGGTACCTTGGCTGTCACCGTGTGCTATGGCACTGGTTCACCTACTATTGGAGAGTATAGTCTACATGAGTTGAAATTTATTTTCCTATGGTACTTATTTTAAATATTTATTCTCAAGTTCTGTCTCTCCATTACACTTCAGTCTGCAGAGCTGCTCAGGCATCCACATCTTCAACCTTATGTTGTTAAGGTTCATCTGAAGATTAATAGCCCTAGACGGAATACTTTAACAGTCCATTGGCATGAGTCCAATTTGATGAAGAAAACTAGATTTCCGGACTCAGAAGTCATTCCTTTCAAGGACAAAGAGAAAAGGCGATCATTCAGCAATAATAGGATCTTGAATCTATGTGTACCTGAAGAGGATTCTTTAAGTACTACTCGAAGAAAACAGGAGCTGCCGAGTTACCTGGATCAAAAGCTGTCAGAATTATCGGTTGGCAGCACCCATTATGAGATAGGCAGTGATAAGCGAACAATTGTGAAGACAAATATTGCGAAGACACCAAGATTGACTCCATCAAAAGTTTCTGCCATTCCTAGGACACGGACAGGACCATCAAAGTTTGGTTCAAATCGTGAATCAGTAAGCTCATCACCCTGACATAATTTGTAGAGATCTTTCAAACCCTTAAATGGTGGTTATAGAAGAAGCACTACCTTAATAAGAAATTGTCATTTCTAGCAGCATTACTGTGGTATCCAATTTAGATATGCATATTACAAAATAAACTTGAGTCATACGGGTATAATCATCTGATCTGCTATGCTTTTTAGTGGCATAGGGAAAAAAAGACTGGGTCTACAATCATGCATTATCCTGTCAACCACTCAATTGAGTCTTATAACTTTAGCATTGTCTGGACCCTGCCTGTTCTTAGATTGTAATATTATAATTCTTACTAGTTTCTGCTACTTGTATTTATTCCTGTGCCACTTTGGAGTTAATCTCTTGTTCATTTCTTGATTGCATTATATGCTCTTATGTGCAGTTTCCTATGTCACGCACTCCAGCAAGTAAATCTGCTCGGTCCACTCGTCGAGCCTCGTTGCCATTGCCTACAAGAGCTGCAACCCTGGAAACCCCTTATAGATCAAGTGTTAGTCTTCTCCAACGCATGAACTCCCCTGATGTGTCTGTGAATGCCCCACGTATTGACAAGATAGCTGAATTTCCATTAGCCTCGTCAGAAGATCCCCTCTATCCCATCCGTCGAACATCATCTGCACAGGGGTCTACCAGTTCTTATTGTTGTGATCACTCAATCACAAAGGACAAATTTTCAGTCCAAATTCATGATAGAAACTTTTTGAGGCCAAGCTTCATGGATGGCTGGAATGGGATTGGACGCAGCACCTTTGAGCTTGATGTGGAGGATGGAAGTGAATTCTCAGATAGGAATCCAACAGTTGGCAGCAGGGAATCATCAGATTTACGGCAGCGTCGGTTTGACACTTCATCATACCAGCAACGGGCCGAGGCATTGGAAGGCTTACTTGAATTTAGTGCACAACTTTTGCAACAACAGAGGTTTGAAGAACTTGGTGTATTATTGAAGCCGTTTGGGCCTGAGAAAGTCTCTCCAAGGGAGACAGCTATCTGGTTGACTAAGAGCTTCAAGGAGAATACAGTAAAGCAAGAAGGTTAAAGAATTAGAGACCATTGCAACATGTATGGTACTAGAGTTGGTGCTTCAAATTTTCAGAACCGGCGGGGTAAAATAAAATAAGAAAATGATGTCATTAGCTGTTTTGTGGCTTTGGTTGTCATTGTCTGCAACTGCAAGAATCGGCAGCAAGTGGAGTGGAAAGTTTGCACGCAGAGGTTGCAAAATGGTGCCTTGCATTGACTTGAGAGTTCTTTGGGACGATTGTATGTGGAAAGTGTTTGTCTCAATGGTTGTTTTTAAAAATGTTGGCGGGAAAATGGATAGTTGTGCCGGTCAGATTGTTGAGAACTAAAATATCATGGACGGATTTTTCCCAAGGCAGGGTAGAGATTTTGTTCCAAGTGCCGAATGCCTGAGCCCATGCGGTCCAACCGTGGATCACAGAATCTTCCACAATGGTGATGGAGAGGGCTTAGTTAATCACAAACTCAGTCTTGAGTATGTTGTGCAGCAGCCAGCAGGGGCACTTCCTTTCCATGATGCTAACAATAGCAATATAGCATTTGGTGGAACCTCCTGTGATTTCGCATTGTCATGCAAAATTTGGAGGTCTTACAAAAGCTACAATGACTTGGTTTAACCCTTAACATGAGCATGTGTAAGTTCGGAAACACCCATGTTTTATATTATGAAGGATATGTAGGTACAATACAACAAGCACAACATTCAAGTTTTTACCACACCAAAATGTTCATGTTTATCTGACCATGAAGAAAGCTGTCATAACCATACGCTTGTGGAAAAAGACGGGGCAATTCTTGGCTTGTTAATCGTTGGTTAACATTTATTTTACATATACAGCAGAGATGTAACGTATTAGATATGGAATTGTATTTGATTTTTGACCCTACTTGATATAGGTAGTTTTCATATCCATTTCTCCTTCACAATTTGCGTAATAGCATTCCACAGGCAGTCAGGCATGACTCTTGAATGTGATTTATAATTTTCCAACTTGCAAGGTGGTTCATTCTTCATCTAAGCTATGGTCTATGGGTCACGGTCCCTTTGGTTCACAGTCCGAATCGGGAATGGTTTATTCTCATAGATTGTTTGGTTTAGATAGCAATGGGAATAGAAATTGTAATCGGCAAGAATGGATTTCATTCCCAATAGAGGGGCAGGGAATGGCCATCCCTCAAAAGCGGGGTTGCCATTCTAGGATTGGGAATGAGGTTCCGATTCTGCTCAATCAAACAGTTAGAATCAATAGCCCATTCTGATTTTGATTCCAGACCCCTGTTACCGTAAACAGGGTCTTAGTTTTGTTGGCTTTAGGGTCTGATTCGCAAACAGGACTGAAATTGGAACCGAAATCAACTACTCTTGATGCTTGTTTGGTTCAATCAGGAATCAGAATCCGATTCCGATTGTCGTTGTTTGGTCTATTGGAAGTTGAAATAGGAATCAATTGAGAATTTTCAATTTTGTATTAGTTTATTTATTATTTTCTTATTATTTTATTAATATTTTATAAATACAGAATTATTATTTTATTAGTATTTAATAATTAATATCTTAGTATTTATCATTAATTTAAGAATATTTTATTAATATACTAGCGGGGACCCATGCGGTGCACGGGATTTGTTAAGGAAAGCTAAACAACAAAACACTAGAGTATATACAATTGTTTTATATTTTTAACTTTTTAAATAAGATTAATTATTTGTATTTTATAATACTTTTAATAACTTTTTACAATACAAAAAATAACAATAATTTATTTTAGTTAAGCTTGTTCATCGAACTAATGAAACCAACCAACCCGACCAACTCGACCCGAATTGTTCAGTTTCTAATATTTCCAGTTGAAATTGGGATTAGTTTCGCTGTGGCCATTTGTAAATTGATCAAAATCGAATGACCCAATCATAGATATATATTAATATTTTTATATTCTAAATATAATTTTTTTAATACAGGAAAGTGGGGAAATTCCCATATTTCTTAGTCTCAAATATTTTATGTTATAAATTTATTTTTTAATAATATTAATGTACTTTTTAAAATTTAAAATTAAAATTTCAATGTAATCTTTTAAACCAATTGAGCAAACCGAAAATCAACCCAAACCAATACAACCCGATCTAGTTGGTTTTCATTAATGGTCAATAGTTTTCGGGTAACCAACTCCCTAACCTGACCATGTTGATTTGGTTGGCCAAATAGCCTACAACCGAACTAAACCAGGTCGTGATCAACACTCTTAATTTCATCTAAATTAATATTTTAACCTCTAATAAATAAAAGTAGTTTAATCTCCAATAATTATTAAAAATTTATAGCAAAAATGCACAATAATTGAAAATATATTGATAATAAAAATAAAATAATTACAGAAATACTAAAAATACTAAAAAATATATTAAGTTAGTCAATAAATATTGTAATCTCAAATAATAGTTTAATCTCTAATAAATATCAATGAATAAAGTACAAAAAAAATACAATAAATACAATAAGTATTAATAAGCGAAAGCTAAATAATAGAAAGGGTCATTTACTAAAATACCCTGTATAGTTTCATGGATTTACTAAAATCTACCCTATAGTTAAAATTTTACTAAAACACCACTTATAATTTGCAATGGATTTAATCAATCTTCTATTAGATGACAGTGGAAAATGACAATATTGACCCTAATGTTCATTTAAATAAATTTAATCAAAAGAAAATAAAAATAAAAATATTGTTTTTGCCCTTTATAAGATACGAGCAACCACTCTATTGGCTATATTTGGTTAATTTTGTATTTTGTATAAAAAATTATTAAGGGTATTTTTGGAATAAAAAATCATGGACCTAATGATAAAACAAACACTCCTTAATGAAAGGTTGATGAAGTAAATAAGTTATAAAATATATGGGATATTTTAATAAAATGAAAACTATAAGGTAGGTTTAAGTAAATATGTAATATTATAAGATGTGTTATAGTAAATGAGCCTAATAGAATCACATCAGAGTATATAATTGTTTTATATTTTCAACTTTTTAAATAATTAATAATTATTCATATTTAAATATTACTTTTAATATTTTTTTTATAATACAAAAATAACAATAAATTTTTTATATACTACTTGGGACGTTACAGATTAGCCGAGTCAGTGCACGAGAAGTCCAGTTAGGAATTCGGTTGAACATTGCGTGTTGCGCGGTATGCTATGCAGTGTGTGTGGTGCATGACGTGCAGTGCGTAAGGTGTATGTCGTGCATTGGATAGTCAACTTTGTGAGGCAATCAACATCTTTATTAATGTAGAGTTATTGATAGTACATTCTGAGGTTGTCGGTGTTCCAGCTCCTTTGTATGGGTCTATTGCCAAGGTTTTCTAGCCTGTAGGTGTCAAAGGCGGTTGACCACCGCAACTGCAGAACAAGCATTCTGCAAAAGAAACCATCAGTACGATCAACTTCAACTAAACAGGAAATCAAAGAATGAGTACAGACATACTGCAGTAGCTTGGCGAAGGAGCGAGGATTCCATGGTTCCACTCGTCGTCTATGAGGCCTCCCGCCGAATGGCCATAGTCATGATCCCGTGGAGAAACTGCTCGGCTACGCCCTCCGTCTCAAGCCCATCCTCAGAATGGATAGTCCATTTCAGCATGTGGAGGGTCGAGTTGCTACTCCTAGGTACATCCACTTGCGGAGAAGGCGGAACCGCAGACTGGTAACCCTCCTTTGGGTCAACTACCACAACATCCTCATCATCGCCCCACTGCCTAGCCCACTCCTGCTACCGGGATGCCCTCTCGGTGGACCTCGACGGAATCGCATTAGAAAGAGGTTAGGCCCTCGCACCACCTCGGCTACGCCTCTGTTGCCCGACCATCATTTTACGGAGGATCTCCTCCTCGCTCGCCATATCGACACCAGCACAAAATGTGAGAAGTTAGTCAAGACAAGTATAAGCTCGGGAAAAAAGAATCAACAAAAGGATTGAAGCAACAAAATGGACCGGCCTCTCCACACATTAGCCCGACATAGGTCAACATCAAGAAGGACGTGTACAGAATTACGTTGACCTCCTGAATCATGTTTATGGCCGCCCTCTCCTCCTTGGAAAGTTGGTGCCACTTGGGCTGTGGCACCTTAGTCCTCGGAGCCTGGAGCACGGTTGGAAAGGGAAAACCCTCAGGACAACCCACAAAGAAAAATCCCCCCTTCCAGTACTTCACCGAGGACGGGGCCCCGACCAGTCCTTGATGCGTTGCTTGAACGAGAAGTAATAATAGCCCTGCTGGTGATGCTTCAGTTGGAGGAAGTAGCTCACCATCCCTAGGGTAAGCTCGAGATCATGGATGAAGCAGTACAATATCAGGCTGATCAAAAACCATCAACTGCACCGACAGCACCCGGTACCACTCAAACACCCCGACTACTCCCTTGTGCAAAGGGAACCTTAGCCTAGCCTCCAGACTCTTTTTGTTCACACAGAGCTCACCTAGCCGAGCATCTGTGGGCATCTCACCAGCCCACGGACATCTCAACTCGTGCTCCTCAGGATTGCAGTACAGAGCCCTGATTCAAGCAATATCTTTGGGAGTCAAAGAGTAGGGGGTGGTCCCAAATCAACAGCCAGCCCGTGTAGGAATCTCTACTTCCACGCTCGATGGCCTAGTCTCAGCCTCCTCGCTTCAATGAATCTCCCATAATCTAACCCCTAAAAGCCCTCAGCCTCAGGCCCCTACCCTTTGGCCGCAGTGAAAGACCCTAGCTTAGATTCGTAACGAGAAGCACTAAAACTAGAAGAGGAGTCAGTGGAAGAAGAATGGAAGGAAGAGGAAGACATCTTACCGGGCGTAGGACCGCGGAACTAAAGCAAACACCGAGCACTACAAATCACCTCTCGCTGAGCTCTCTAAGCAACTCCTCTCGCAAATGACGAAGAAGAAATGCTCTACCCCCCCCCCCCCATTTATAACTTCCAATGGTTTGAATCGAAGCAAGATCGATGGCTAAGATCAAGTGCTGCTTTGACAAGCTCGGGAAGACCAATCGGTGCCTCCGCCCTCCGCACGCACATAACCTCGAGAAGCAAAGCGATGCTTCTAACAACCCGTTTCAAAGACAATACGCCCATCGACCCGACTAGACCAGCCCAGATGATCCAGTTCAACCTTGGACCATGCGAACCAAACCAGAAGCTCAACCAAACTACAACTTTGAGTTCCTCAGCCGAGAATTGAACACCTCTTCCGTGCTACACCTCGGTTGAGCACTTTACTCTTTGACTTCGGAACTGAGGGAGTGGTGTTCGGGTTATGGTTAAGTTGGGACAACACCGCTGGGATTAGGTCTTATCTGGAAGACCTCGATGGCTAATCACATTCCGACAACCCCAGAAGCCTAATCTGATTAGGACACGGATCTTTGGCTATAAAAAGGTACTCCCCACTCGAGGTAAGGGATCCAACTCTGAACACCCATACTGTTACTCCGCTCGGACCAGCACTCATTCTCAACTACTCGGCCCGACCAACTACTGCCTTCTACTGACTTGAGCGTCAGAGTATCTACCCGGGGATAACTCCTCGGCCTCTAACTTGTTTCTTGCTCATAGATCTCATTGCGCGGTTTCGTCCTTCCACCTCGGCTCCGCCCAATTGGCAAGGATCATTTAACCGTGACCTCGGTTCTTGCACCACCTAGGATCGAGCAGCATCAGGTTTATTCATCAAACTGATGAAATCGACCAACCCAATCAACTCAACCTGAGTTGGTCGGTTTTCTAGTATTTTAGGTCGTTTTTGTTCAAAAATTTCCCAATTCGACCAAGTTGGATCAATTTCACTTTGGCCATTTGTAAACCAACCAAAATCGAACGGCCTAACCTTGGATATATATTAATATTTTATATTTG